TCCCCTAGATTTCCTGCCGTGTTCCCGCAGTCTTTCATCCAGGTTTACCTTCTTGACTATTTTAAGTCTGTTAAACGATGTATGTAAACATCAGGCACTGTAAACTGATGACCCGTGTGACGGACATCCAGGTAAACCACAGGTAGACTAGAATATGCAGGTAGATTACCGGGTAAATGAGAGGTAAACTAGGATAAACAGGTAGATTACCGGGTAAATGAAAGGTAAACTAGGATAAACAGGTAGATTAAATGGTAAATGAGAGGTAAACTAGGATAAACAGGTAGATTAAATGGTAAATGAGAGGTAAACTAGGATAAACAGGTAGATTAAATGGTAAATGATAGGTAAACTAGGATAAACAGGTAGATTACCGGGTAAATGAAAGGTAGACTAGGATATACAGGTAGATTACCGGGTAAATGAAAGGTAGACTAGGATATACAGGTAGATTACCGGGTAAATGAAAGGTAAACTAGGATAAACAGGTAGATTACCGGGTATATGAATGGTAGACTAGGATAAACAGGTAGATTACTGGATAAATGAGAGGTAAACTAGGATAAACAGGTAGATTACCGGGTAAATGAGAGGTAAACTAACATAAACAGGTAGATTACCGGGTAAATCACAGGTAGGGACGGGGAAAGTATCCATACGACACCTGTAAAACATCCCCAACCGGCTCGGTAAACCACGTCATAGAGTTTCCACCAACGGTTGAGGTAAACCGGGTCATCACCACCACCAAGGAACAGACGAAGGAGCTGCGTCATGATTAAATAATATTGAAAAATGATGACGAGTGATGATGATGATTTGAGACGACACGTGAGGCATGGTTTCCTGACACTGGCGCCGAGGCAGGTCAGGGCGGGAGGTCTTCCCGGCGCCGGCAGACAAAGATGAGATCGTGTCTTGGAAGACGTCGTGGTGCAGCATCTTGGTGTGTGTGTGTGAGCATTAAGGAACCCGGAAGATACAAGCATATGTGGGTTATGGAAGCATGTTGTGGAGGCCTGAGGGCAGGTGGGTGTAGGAAAGGTGTCGCTGGGGGTGTGGGGGGTGTGTGGGGGTGTGTTGGGGGTGTTGGGGGTGTGGGGGGGGGAGCTGAATAGGATGGGATCGTAAGTAGGTTATAATTAACACAAAGCCCCCGGCTTGTTCACACGCTCTCTCACGCAGTTAGTCACATGATCGCGAATGTTCCAACCTTCGAAACAGGACAAGCACAGGTGGTGACGTGGAAGGGGTAATCCCGTGACGTGGAAGGGGAAGACGAATGCACATAAGCAGGAAGGAGTGCTGGGAGAGGATGGGAAGGAAGTCTAGGAGGAGGAGACATGGCGGGGGAACAGCAGGAAAGGCTGGGTGGGAGAGGGAGAGGGGGGGAGCACAGTAGCAGGTTGGGTTCTCATGCTTACCTGCTGGAAATAGCGGTGTCAGCTCTCGCACCTCCCGGATGTTTCAGGGAAGCAGGAGGCCGGGGCGCTGACGCAGAATGGTGCCCTCATGGTGATGGGGGGGGGAGAGGCAGCCCAGGAATGAGGGGGGGGGCGCACCAGGACAGTGGGGGGGGGAGGCTTAGACCTCACCCCCCTTCCACATATAACTTGTAGTCCATAAATGCTCCTCTCTAAGGTCAAATTCATCCTGTTGTTGTTAAAGATTCGCTACCTGGAACAAAGTTGCAAGTAGCACGGGCTATGGTGAGCCCGCAGGATGTATTCAAATTCATCCATTTAAAAAGATCTAAACTAAATGTATGATTTGTCAAACAACGCAATTGATTACAAAACAATTAGTCAAAAAGATGATTGTTGCATCATTGTTTAATCAATGTTTAGTGCGTGCAAGCGAGGCTTCCTTCAACAATCTTGGAGTGTAGTACTACAACACATACACTGGTGATCAACGCGGCGATAACAATCCTTGCAAGCAACCTGCGATTATTGATAAGCAGCCGAGCTGTAAGCCACGCTTATAGCCATCTTGCAGCCACATGTCTCTAGAATGTTTGCAGTGTGGCACACATGTCCACACTGAACACCTGTGTTCAGTGCTGTCCTGAAGTTATCTTCAACTCCACACTGAACACCTGTTCAGTTCTATCCTGAAGTTATCTTCAACTCCACACTGAACCACTAGGTGTTCAGTTCTATCCTGAAGTTATCTTCAACTCCACACTGAACACCTGTGTTCAGTTCTATCCTGAAGTTATCTTCAACTCCACACTGAACCACTCAGTGTTCAGTGCTATCCTGAAGTTATCTTCAACTTCACACTGAACCACTCAGTGTTCAGTGCTATCCTGAAGTTATCTTCAACTCCACACTGAACCACTCAGTGTTCAGTGCTATCCTGAAGTTATCTTCAACTCCACACTGAACACCTGTGTTCAGTTCTATCCTGAAGTTATCTTCAACTCCACACTGAACCACTAGGTGTTCAGTTCTATCCTGAAGTTATCTTCAACTCCACACTGAACACCTGTGTTCAGTTCTATCCTGAAGTTATCTTCAACTCCACACTGAACACCTGTGTTCAGTTCTATCCTGAAGTTATCTTCAACTTCACACTGAACCACTCAGTGTTCAGTGCTATCCTGAAGTTATCTTCAACTCCACACTGAACCACTCAGTGTTCAGTGCTATCCTGAAGTTATCTTCAACTCCACACTGAACCACTCAGTGTTCAGTGCTATCCTGAAGTTATCTTCAACTCCACACTGAACCACTCAGTGTTCAGTGCTATCCTGAAGTTATCTTCAACTCCACACTGAACCACTCAGTGTTCAGTGCTATCCTGAAGTTATCTTCAACTCCACACTGAACCACTCAGTGTTCAGTGCTATCCTGAAGTTATCTTCAACTCCACACTGAACCACTCAGTGTTCAGTGCTATCCTGAAGTTATCTTCAACTCCACACTGAACCACTCAGTGTTCAGTGCTATCCTGAAGTTATCTTCAACTCCACACTGAACACCTGTGTTCAGTTCTATCCTGAAGTTATCTTCAACTTCACACTGAACCACTCAGTGTTCAGTGCTATCCTGAAGTTATCTTCAACTCCACACTGAACCACTCAGTGTTCAGTGCTATCCTGAAGTTATCTTCAACTCCACACTGAACCACTCAGTGTTCAGTGCTATCCTGAAGTTATCTTCAACTCCACACTGAACCACTCAGTGTTCAGTGCTATCCTGAAGTTATCTTCAACTCCACACTGAACACCTCAGTGTTCAGTTCACCGTTTTCGACACATGAGCACCTTACTCACCGTGTAGTTCCTCATCACCACCAGTCACGTTCATGGGAAGAGAAATGGTGAGGAATGATGAGTAGGGGGGGGTGATGAGTCGGGGGAGGGTTGAGGGGAGATATGACATAATTAGAGATGAGCGTGAGTGGAAACTAAAATAGATTTTACGCAATAATAGTACAGGAAGACACCACTGATGAGGAGAGAGTGCATACTGGCGGTAATGGCGCCCTTCTGTGTGGTGGGGGGGAGAGAGAGAGAGAGAGAGAGAGAGAGAGAGAGAGAGAGAGAGAGAGAGAGAGAGAGAGAGAGAGAGAGAGAAAAAAGAGAGAGAGAGAGAGAGAGAGAGAGAGAGAGAGAGAGAGAGAGAGAGAGAGAGAGAGAGAGAGAGAGAGAGAGAGAGAGAGAGAGAGAGAGAGAGAGAGAGAGAGAGAGAGAGAGAGAGAGAGAGAGAGAGAGAGAGAGAGAGAAGAGAGAGAGAGAGAGAGAGAGAGAGAGAGAGAGAGAGAGAGAGAGAGAGAGAGAGACAGAGACAGAGACAGAGAGAGAGAGAGAGAGAGAGAGAGACAGAGAGAGACAGAGAGAGAGAGAGAGAGAGAGAGAGAGAGAGAGAGAGAGAGAGAGAGAGAGAGGGGGGGGGGCTAAGGGGGTTGCGAATTAACGGAGAGGATGAGATAGAATGAGCCAGCATTAAATGCGTTTATTTTTTTATGTTGGTTTGGAGATAGTGAGAGAGGGAAGAGGGAGGGAAGGAGACACAGTGTGGCCTGAGAAGGGGGTTGAGCTTCGGCTCTTTGGTCCCGCCTCTCCAAAGATGGCCAAATAGGAAGGTGTGAGGCACGAAGGGACACACCTGTAGGCTCTGCTACAAGCACCACATGTGTCGCCTCGGTGCCAATCATGGTACATATGTGAACCCGTCCTCAGAGCAAATCCGTTATCAGGAGAAACTCCTGGTAACGGATTAGGGGGGGGGGGGTAACGCCCCCCACCCAAATCACCTGGATATCTGTGATGGTCTGAAATATTAGGGTGCTAGTAATAGTCTACATGTCTGCTCTTTTGAGTCATTCTTTACATTCTAAGATCATTTATTTTATTCATCATTTATTGGAGTTTAATTTCCTGGGGCCTGGCTTGGGTGGGGGGGGGGGAAAGTTCATTTTATTGGAACGATTGAACAAACATCCACTTTATTGGGACGTGAACAAACATCCACTTTATTGGAACGATTGAACAAACATCCACTTTATTGGGACGTGAACAAACATCCACTTTATTGGAACGATTGAAGAAACATCCACTTTATTGGGACGATTGAACAAACATCCACTTTATTGGAACGATTGAACAAACATCCACTTTATTGGGACGATTGAAGAAACATCCACTTTATTGGAACGATTGAACAAACATCCACTTTATTGGGACGATTGAACAAACATCCACTTTATTGGAACGATTGAACAAACATCTACTTTATTGGGACGATTGAACAAACATCTACTTTATTGGGACGATTGAAGATTAGAACAGGTGTAGTGGTGGTGGCAAATTCATCATCTAATCATCAGTTTGAATATAATTGTTTGTTCTTTAATGAACAAGTAACAAAGTATTTGTCAGAAAATGTGTATTTGTAAGTTCCGTCGACAAGGAAATAGGGTGTTAGTTGTAAGGTGATGTATTTGTCTGTTTTCCTTCTGTGATCTACATAACGTTCTTGTTTATTTTTCAGGCAAGTCATCAACGGGAGGAGGTAAGACTGCTTCGTCAGGGTAGCCCACTTTCAGGACCTCCAGGGGTCTCCAGGGGGTCGCCAGGGGGTCTCAAGTGGGTCTCTAGGGGTCTCTAGGGGTCTCTAGGGGTCTCTAAGGGGTCTCTAGGGGGTCTCTAGGGGTCGCCAGGGGTCTCTAGGGGTCTCTAGGGGTCTCTAGGGGTCTCTAGGGGGTCTCTAAGGGGTCTCTAGGGTGTCTCTAGGGGTCGCCAGGGGTCTCTAGGGGTCTCTAGGGGTCTCTAGGGGTCTCTAGGGGGTCTCTAAGGGGTCTCTAGGGGGTCTCTAGGGGTCTCTAGAGCCTCCAAGAACCTTAGGTCCTTCAGGTGGTGTTGCAACACCCAGCCACACTTCCTCATCCCTATGTAAGCCTGTTGCAACAGCGGCCCATGCTAGAGAGCGGTTAGTGAGGCGCGCGTGTGTGTGCGTGTGTGTGTGTGTGTGTGTGTGTGTGTGTGTGTGTGTGTGTGTGTGTGTGTGTGTGTGTGTGTGTGTGTGTGTGTGTGTGTGTGTGTATTCACCTAGTTGTGTTCACCTAGTTGTGTTTGCGGGGGTTGAGCTTTGCTGCTATTTCGGCCCGCCTCTCAACTGTCAATCAACTGTTTACTAACTACTTTTTTTTGTTTGTTTTTTCCCACCCCACACACACACACACACCAGGAAGCAGCCCGTGACAGCTGACTAACACTCAGGTACCTATTTTACTGCTAGGTAACAGGGGCATAGGGGGAAAGTAACTCTGCCCATTGTTTCTCGCCGGCGCCTGGGATCGAACCCAAGACCACAGGATCACAAGTCCAGCGTGCTGTCCGCTCGGCTCCCCCACTGATAACCCCACGAGATAACAACTGGGACGGGACGGTCTCCGTCACCACAGTGGGATGTGGTTCACTCCCCCACCAGGGCTAACCACTCAACCAGGACGTGGTAATCCTCTTAACGTGGCTACGAGTCACGTTCTATACAACGCCCTTCACTCACAATTTGTAAAACCCACCGAGCCTACCACGGCCTATCCTTTGCTGATACATCGTACCATAACAATATATACCTGGTTGATGGGGTTCTGGGAGTTCTTCTACTCCCCAAGCCCGGTCCGGGGTCATAGGCTTGACGTGTGAGAGTTTGGTCCACCAGGCTGTTGCTTGGAGCGGCCCGCAGGCCCACATACCCACCACAGCCCGGTTGGTCCGACGCTTCTTGGAGAAAATGATCTAGTTTTCTCTTGAAGATGTCCACGGTTGTTCCGGCAATATTTCTTATGCTCGCTGGGAGGGTGTTGAACAACCGCGGACCTCTGATGTTTATACAGTGTTCTCTGATTGTGTCTATGGCACCTCTGCTTTTCACTGGTTCTATTCTGCATTTTCTTCCATATCGTTCACTCCAGTATGTTGTTATTTTACTGTGTAGATTTGGGACCTGGCCCTCCAGTATCTTCCACGTGTATATTATTTGATATCTCTCTCGTCTCCTTTCTGGTGAGTGCATTTGGAGAGCTTTGAGACGATCCCAATAATTTAGATGCTTTATCTCGTCTATGCGTGCCGTATATGTTCTCTGTATTCCCTCTATTTCAGCAATCTCTCCTGCTCTGAAGGGGGGAGTGAGTACCGAGCAGTACTCGAGACGTGACAACACAAGTGACTTGAAGAGTACAACCATTGTGATGGGATCCCTGGATTTGAAAGTTCTCGTAATCCATCCTATTATTTTCTGGCTGATGCAATACTTGCTTGGTTATGCTCCCTAAACGTTAGGTCGATAGACATCATTATTCCCAAATCCTTTACATGTTGCTTTCCTTCTATGGGCAGATTTGATTGTGTTTTGTATCCTGTATTATGTTTAAGATCCTCATTTTTACCGTATCTGAGGTTCTGTTGGCGATTATTTGTATTTGCAGTACGTGGGTGAAGCATTTACAGCGTTGTGGTTCGAACAAAAGTCGTCAGTGAAGCACTTGTTCCGGAAGTGTTCGGACGTCATCAGTTGTGAGTCGTGTGTAAACCGTTTTTCATTCATAAACAGCTGGGGTTTGGCGGGTGGATGGAATCACTTTTGGGTCTTTGTTTGGAGGACGGGCTGGTGTCAGCAAAGCAGCGTTTTGAGAAATGTTGGAACATCAATTGGAGATTGGGTTAACGAGCATTTGACGTTGTTGATGAGGACGGGCAAGTGGATGAGGACGGGCAAGTGGATGAGGACGGGCAAGTGGATGAGGACGGGCAAGTGGATGAGGTTGGGCTACAAATCAAGCGCAGGAAGTGAGTGGAGGAGTGTTGAAGAAAAAATGGACCATAATTAGTTGTTAAACACGTGTGTCAAGTGTTTTTCATTTATATACAAGGGGGAGGGGGGGGAGGGGGTGCCGGCTAGATTAACGACCATTCCGCCATTGTTTAAGAAGACGAGCTGCTTATTTGCACCAACTTTTGGGAGTAAATGAAGTACTTCTCGAGCGAAACTTGGAACATAATTAGGCTGACTAACACATGACTTACAATGGTCTAGGATTGACGGTTCAAATAAGTGAGGTGCAAGGTTACACGGATCTTTAGCACTAAAGAGGTGCTGCCTCTTCGCAGTACTGCTTGTTTGATCCTTATGTGGCTGTGAGGGGCTGGCCACGTGGGAAGGTAGCTTGTAATCCCCGGCTCCAAACATGGAGTGTCGTGGCGCGGGCGGACGGTCGGTGGCGCGGGCGGACGGTCGGTGGCGCGGGCGGGCGGTCGGTGGCGCGGGCGGGCGGTCGGTGGCGCGGGCGGACGGTCGGTGGCGCGGGCGGGCGGTCGGTGGCGCGGGCGGACGGTCGGTGGCGCGGGCGGGCGGTCGGTGGCGCGGGCGGACGGTCGGTGGCGCGGGCGGACGGTCGGTGGCGCGGGCGGGCGGTCGGTGGCGCGGGCGGGGCGGTCGGTGGCGCGGGCGGGCGGTCGGTCGGTGGGGCGCGGTGGCGGGCGGGCGGTCGGTGGCGCGGGCGGGCGGGCGGTTGTTATTATTTTAGATTCAGCTACTAACAATAAAAAGTTGCAAGTAGCACGGGCTATGGTGAGCTCGTAGTAGACTTACCTGGCACAGGAGCGGTGCTGGCGGTGGCAGGGAGCGAGGGCGGGTTGCTCCTAGAGGTGAGGTGGTCGGTCATGTACACTTACCCTCGTGTCATGTGTTAATCATCACTTGTTGTGGTGACTAACACAATACTCCCATTGAAGCGTTCAACCCGTTCTCGCACTTGCTTATAGTCAATATTGACTTATTTAATAAGTGCATATGTGACATACTAATTGATTGTAAATATTTTAGTTTACCTTGAAAAGCTTCATAGAAAACACCGACCTCACCTAACCTTCTTAGTATGTTAAGATAAGCATCTTATTGCTTCGTAATTACAATTATTACTTAACCTATACCGTTGATAGTGGGAGAACTGAGTGAAGCGTCCTTATAGGCCTAGTTGTCACCTTCTGTGTACGTGTCTCTTCCCCGTCCTCATTTTGCTCACTACTTTCCTTGTTTCTGTTTTTGTCTTCATGTTTCTGAAGAAATTACAGAGAAAAGAACTAAATTACAAAGAGTAATTTTCAGTTGTGTTTTTGCTTTATTTACTACTGTCAGTAATGCATTGTCTCACCACCCACTTGGGGTGGACGGTAGAGCGACGGTCTCGCTTCATGCAGGTCGGCGTTCAATCCCCGACCGTCCACAAGTAGTTGGGGCACCATTCCTTTCCCCCCGTCCCATCCAAAATCCTTATCCTGACCCCTTTTCAGTGCTATATAGTCGTAATGGCTTGGCGCTTTCCCTGGAAATTCCTTCCTTCCTGGTTAAACCAGGGGGTTAACACCAGTGGTTTAACTCTGTCTTGCTTTGTCTTAGTGAGAAATAATGTCACTTAGTGTCACTTGAGGGCCTCACAACGTGGGGGGGGGAGGGGGGGCTAATGTCTGGGGTCATCTGCCCTCAGGGTTGTAGGGGGGGCCAACGCCCCCTGGGCATTGTCTTAGGTCCTCGGTGATTGGTCATTTTCATCATTGGGCTTCAGAGCTTATTTCCCCATTATTTCCGACACGTCGTGGAGTTGGTATCGGGTACAGTTTTGACGGGTCGGGGCTCGTTCTTGTCGGGTCCCTGGGCTAGCTGTCGTGCAGTCGTTCATGTGCTGGGTCTGTCGTGGAGCTGTTCTCCCGAAAAGTTATTACGTGAGGTCTCTTTCAACTTTCGTGCAGATGTGGTCGTGGTTGAAGCATTATAGTCGGCACTGATCATCGGCAGGGAGGGAAATATCAGGGGTAAGGGCCAAGTCATTACGCTAAATAGTTGTTACGCTATATAGTATTACGCTATATAAGTGCTATATAGCACTTGGAAGGGGGTCAGGAAGAGGATTTGGGATGGGACGGGGGCATGGAATGGTGCCCCAACCACTTAGACGGTCGGGGATTGAACACCGACCTGCATGAAGACCGTCGCTCCATCGTCCAGCTCCAAGTCTAGTTTACGTAACCTGTCCATCTTTCACCAATCGTGGCGGCTTTGTTCACCAGTTCAGCAATATCTTTAAGTGGGAGTATATGCTTCGCTACTGGGCACTATAATGCCTTAAAGAGGGGGGTAGAAATAGCCTAAGCTACTCTATCCCTTTGAGATGTATTTCTTGCTTATCTCAATAAACATACTTGAACTTGAACTTGAACTAATGCCTTAATGAGCACCATCATTACTCTGGCATCTCTTGCTTGAGAGGTTCTTGTCACTCAACCTGTAATTTTTCTTGCAGTTGTGACAACTAATTTATATTGTGTTCTGTCAAAGTAAGGTCTACCAACGTGATCACTCCCCAGGGGCCAGATTCACGAAAGCACTTATGCAAGCTCTTACGAACGTGTACATCTTTCCTCAATCTTTGACGGCTTTGGTTACATTTATTAAACAGTTTACAAGCATGAAAACGTCCTATCCAACTGTTGTTATTGTTATAAACAGCC